AACTTATCATTATAAATACAATATCTTATCATATAATTTGACATAATAGAATAACAAATGTTTTCACTATTCATTACGCTTTGTTATGTGGCATATCGAAAGCCAGACCTAACAGCCCCACTTTTTTTTTTTTATCGAAAACTCAGTAGTTCCTGAAGTTATTGGCATAAACAAAGTTTTGTATTTATACGTAACTGGCAATGGGGTGTGGGTTGACGTGCATGTGGTTGTGTGGGTGTGCGTGGAATACAAAAATGAAACCATAAACTTCGCCAATTGGCAACCATTATAGAACCAAGGACCAAGGACCAAGGACCAAGCTATGCAAAAGTCCTGGCCCGTGCTCCATGGCTGCGTTTTGGTTTGCGCTTTTGTTTCAGTGGCCTAATCAAGTTGGTGGCTCAATGGGGCAGAAAATGCTCTTTTACATTCTCACTGCGATTGTCTATCTACTACTGTGTGAGCAATGTCCTTTATAGCTCTTTACAAAAACTATACACAGGAAAAAAAAAGTGAAAGTTCGGTTATGTCTTGAAAACTACTGACAAGTGTTACTTTTTTGTTTCATTTCTATGCCAAAAAGTCTAAAGCTGTAGTCTAAAGCCTTATGTTCAATCCACATAAGTTTTGTTGTGATACTTTGGTGGCATTAATTTAATACTCATCTTATTGATACATTTTGCATACCCAATAGTTTAAAATTTATGACCCTTTTTGTTTGGGTGTAGCAAAGAATAGTTATTGTAGCTTATTAACACCTTGTTTAATTATTTCAATCGGTATTCAGATCTTTTTGGATTAGTTGGCTAAACACGTTTCGGCAATACTATGCCGTTTTTTTTTTGGAGAGCACTAAGGGCTTTTGACTTTCTCGCCAAAGCCGTAATTCAGGCGCCTGCAGCCTCGTCCTTGGGTAATGTGTGAAAAGTAAATATTATGCTTGGCAGCTTTGTTTGGCTTAATTCTTTTTCCGAGTAGGAATTTCACTCACCCAACCAGCCCCCAACCATCCGCACCAGCATCCATCTATCTTCATCTGTCTGTCAAGAGAGCAATCGAAAGCCAATCATGGTCATTTAGCACGGCAAAATTGCTTGGCTGTATGCTATATGCTACATTCTATATGCTATATGCAGACACCAATTTATATATTTTTTATCAATTGAATTTACCGGCAAAGTGCAGTAAGGACGAAATGTTTATTGGGCAACAATTTCCATTTTGTAAATTTGCAATAAATTCGTTCGACACTACGCAGTTTATTTTATCAGCATAGACAACTCAATTATCCCCAACAGGAGCAGCGTTGGTGTATGGATAGTAAGGGAAAACGGGGTAACATAGCCTGGAAATTCGTTAAAGTATCTGAAAATAGTTGAATTTATAGTCATTATGAAGCGTTCAGAAACAGGATATTGAACGTCCGGCTACCTTCAAAATCTCTAGTGATTAAGATACACGGTAATGCGCAACATTGCTATTCTTCTCTCACTAAATAACGGAAACAAATATGAATTTGTAGAACCAACAAAATAAACTTTAAATTGGAAAAATCACTACAAATATGAAAAGATATTTCGACTGGGCAAATACATGAAAAGTAAATCTTCTGCCAATATTAACTAACTCACAAATGACTTGCCGTTCATTTTTTCCATCCTAAATAAACAGTACAGTAGATATGCAGTGAAGGCTCCTTCTCCCATTTCCCATTTCCCTTTTGCCCATTCCCCATTTTCGTTTTCGTCCTGCGCCAGGAAGAGCAGCAAGTGCCCACCTAAGTATGCTACACACTTGCTAGCGATTTAAGGCAGCCAAAGAAATGGCGCCCAACTGACACGCACACACCTAAATATGTATAGTACAGCATCCCCACAACGCGCGTTGTTATAAACAAATTCACACATTTCGAAATTCGAAGTTCGAAGTTCGAAAAAAAAAACCCTGGCAGTCGAAGCAGCTTCGTGCGGGCAATTTACCGCTCTTTTCGCCCTGTCGAAGAGAACATGCGCTCTTCGACGCTCTTTTTGGGGCCATCTCCAGTCGGTTAATCACATTCACCATTAGCCAACAAAAGTAAAATTCGCCGCAATTAAATGTTGCCTACTTGTGGACACATGGATGTGGCCATGTCACGTGTCCCTCCGCCAGCTCAACGAACGCGCCAACTTAATTGCAACAAATAAATCATAGGAAACATTCGGCGGGGATGGGTGTTTTGGGTTGTTTTTGTGTTGTTTTTGTGTTGTTTTTGGGTAGTTTTTGTGTAGTTTTTGTGTTGTTTTTGTGTTGTTTTTGGGCTGCTTTTGGGGTGGTTGGGCGTGGGCAAAGTGCTAAAGAATTGTGCGACTACAGTCTCGCACATAAATGTCAAGTGCGTGCGCTGGCCATGTTAACACACGCACTCTAAGTAGCTTTCCACGCACCACACACCGCCCCAGACAATGCATTTCCAGGACCCTTTGGTCCCGCCGGTCACGATGATGAATGCCAATAAGCTGGCCATAAATATAACGGTGCGACTATGCCCCTCGTTCGCATTGTTGTCGTTGTCGTTGTCATTGTCATTGTCATTGTCGTTGTCGTTGTCATTGTCATTGTCGTTGTCGTTTTCGTTGTTGTTGTCGTTGTCGTTGTCCTTCCTTGCCGTCGCATGGGCAGTGGAAATTATGCAGGAAAGAAAAATCACACGCTTGAAAAGTTTGAATGACTTGATTCGCCCGAATTTGCACAAAGTGGCCGGAAAGCGCCGCGGGAATACCCCCAAGCCCAAATAAATATGCGACAGGCCCCACAGATAATCGCAAGTTAGCGTCATTTCAAAAACAGCATTTGAAATCAATTGAAATTTGGGTTTTTTTGACGGATATTTATACATTTATGCATTAGCGTAGACAGTGGGGAATTTTGTATACTAAATAATCCTACTCGCGTTAAAAATAATGAAAACAAGAAAGAAGCAAGCTTCGGCAAGCCGAAGTTTATATACCCTTGCAACTATTGCAAAAATTAAATATTCTTGAAAATATTCCAATTATGATTTACTTGCGTATATGTTTAAAAACATTAAAGCTTTGATGATTTGCAGTTAGTTCCTAAGGCAGCTATATGATATCGTTTTCCGATTTTAATAAAATTATTCTCTGCAAGGGTATAAAAAGAAGATTCGAACTTACAGTTTTAAAAGTGACATGCTTATCAGTGCAAAAACAATTTTTATTGTGTTAATATTAGCTTATCTGTATACATAGTTTCCGTTTCCAACGCGTGGAATTTGTGATAACGCGGTTAAAAATATAACAACAATTTTTGTTTTCATTTAAGAAATTTTCGAAAGTATGTGATTCATTTAATCAAGACGCAAGATCGACTGGAGCTATATGGTAAGAAAGTGTGTTGTCATCTAATTGGCAAATATTTTTTTCTCCATGAAGTTTAGTTATTTTATCCATTACTTTGATCAAGTTTATGAAGGATTTAAAGGGTCGGTTTTTTTGATTTTCTTTGTTAAATAGTGTTACACAAATATCTCGAATAATATGTAAGATTAATCGAATTCGAAACAGATTACGACCGCCTCTGCCATTCAATTAGCGCAACTTTTCCCGATCTCTCACTAATTGCTGTGCGTTTTTTCCCAAATGTTCGCGTCCTCCTTTTTTTAGTCCTCTTCTGCGCTGTTTTCCTTTTGATGTTTGAATTTTTTGGCCAACATCCACGGAGCGGTTGTCGGAACCCCTTGAAAGGTGGGCTTGTGGGCGAGGGAGCCCAACGTGTCACCACTTTGTGTTACGGCTTACCCAGGCACGATCCTTGCGGCTGCTCAGCTGCTGCTTCCAATCAGACCTGCGACACTTCGCCTGTCTTGATTGAGCCGCACACGTAATTCCCGTAAAGTGTAAAGTGTAAAGTGTAAAGCGTAGGGCGTAAAGCGGCGAGTGTTCTTGGCCTTAAAGCCGCCCGAGCCGCGCTGTCTGGGAGCGAACAAGGCCTGAATCAGAAGCGCACAGCCACCGCAAAACCGGCATAATCAATAGGAGCAACAACGGCAATAAAAGTGAGCGGCCAACTTGTTCTGAATGACGACAATCAACTCAATTTTTGGTCTGGTCGGAGAAGCCACATTCGACAATTCAAACCAATCCCCAAGCCAAGTCGGTCGTCTTCTGTTTTTGGGGGGCTGTCTGTGTCTGCCTGTGGCTGTCTGTCTGTTCGGCAGTCTGTCTGTTCGGCAGTCTGTGTGTACTGAGATGGGTTCCTTAAGCCGTTCCCGGAATCCCCACTTCACCCACTTACCCGGATCTGCCGACAACGCGCATCGTATTTCACGTGCCAACAGTTTTGCATATTTCATATTTAGAATTGAAGGCGGATGTCTGCAACAGAGGCAGCATCGCGACCCACACCTTGTCCTTGAAGCGCCCAACCACCGAACACCACCCACGATTGTACACACCCAACAGCCAAGGAAAACATATGCAGGCAACAAATTACGAGGCTCCTTGCGGGCTGACTTTCTCCTGACTTTGAACAGTTGGCAATGCGCAAGTTTCCCGCTCTTCAACCTCTTCGATCTGTCAGCCATTGTGCGTATCCGTATCCGTATCCGTATCCGGCTGTCTGTCCATCTGTCCATCCGTCTATCAGAGCCCGTGTGCATGGGTGTGAGTGTGTCTGTGTTCTTAGCACATTCCGGCTATTTGCATAAACAGTAGCAACAACGGACGAAAGTATCTCAGCCTGGGCGAACACGAAATCTGCAGCACAGATGCGCTGAAAACTTTGCCAAGTCTCTGAGTGTGAAGAGATGAGGATTGTCAATAAATTCCTACACACAGTGCACTGTGTAAAGGGAAGTGCATGGGAAATGGACCATTGAAGGCAGGGGTTTAATGCTCTAAGAGCTGTGTATGTGTGCAGCCTGGCTCTGTTCTGCTTCTGTTTCTGCTTCTGATAATAAGTTTTGAGACGTTCAGTTTCGTAGCGCAACTATAGCGAGCTGGTCGGCGAAGCGGAAGATTAAAATAGATTAGATTAGTAGATTAGTGCCATGCTGGCACTGATCTACAGGGCATCGGAGGGTGAAACACTCAGCGAAGTGCAGCGGGTCGGCGAGTTCAACCAGCACCCTGTTTTCGTGGCTCTGGACTTCGAGCGACTGATCAAGTTCAAGGAGCATCTGCAGAGTGCTAGGCTACTTACTCGCCCCAGAGTATTCTACAACCGGAAACTGGGTCCAGTTAATTTCCGCTACAATGAGTTCTCCAAATTCTATTTTGACATCGACACAAAGCCTGTAGACATGGATAGCGGCAGGGATATGTCAAGCTGGTTACCCTTCTGGATAAAGAGATCCGACATTAGTTCCCAGATGCAGACGATACTCGTGAATTCCGTGGATTTTAAGGGTGTCTGGAAGCACAGTTTCGACAAGATCAACACGCGGAAATCCGAATTCCACCTCGGCAGCGGTGAAACTATCAATGTTGCAATGATGCACAACCACGAAGTCTATGGTCTGGCTGATCTGCCCGAACTGGACGCCACCGCCTTGGAACTGCCCTTCAAGAATAGCGCCACCAGCATGCTGATCCTGCTGCCCAATCAGCTCGACGGACTGGCTAACCTCGAGCAGCAGTTGGCCCAGCCGGAGTTCGATCTCAACCGGATCGCCAACCGCCTGCACCGCCAGTCGGTCACGGTGGGCCTGCCCTGGTTCAGGCTCGACTTCTTTTGTGACTTGAGCGATCCTCTGAAGAAGCTGGGCCTCAGCCAGGTGTTCACGACCAGCTCGAAGGTGACCAAATTGCTCGAACAGACGGTGCGCGTGGACAAGATCCTGCATAGGGCCTACATTAATGTGCCGGAGTTGGGAACAGTATACTCGAACTTTTCGGGTAAGATTTCAGCTACTTTTCGGGTCTAAAAACTACTACAAAGCTATCAATTCTATAGGTCCAGTTTATGACCAGTCAATGCCTGCCAATTCCAAGGAGTTCGTCGCTAATCGGCCATTCGTCTTTGCCATCCGCACTCCCAACTCAGTGCTGTTGATGGGTCATGTCAAGATCCCTTGGATACTGTAAAGAAAAGAAGATATACTTGTGACGATCGCAATTTCGCGCTTAAATTAATAACTTTTGATTTTGACGTTTTTAAACATGTGTTACATATCAAAAGTTGACGAATCTCAGGGGCTATAAAGCACAAAATAAAAATAAAATCGTTTTTTATTTATTAAAATAAATAATTTTGTAACTTTTTTATTTAGAATAATTATGTTAAAGCAGCGTAAAAAGCATTTGAAAATATATTTTTAAATATTAATATCACTTATCTACTAGCATAAAAGTTATAGCCGTGCAAAGATTAGATCTTTTTAAAGCGATACCTTTCGATTGCTGTATTGCTCGTTATGATTGAATTTTTGATTCTGCGGCTATATGTAGTAGTCTCCTATGCAAACGCTCCTTGTGCGCATCATCACTACATGTACTGCCGGCAATGGTGATCTAGAAGCCATTTAAAGGATAATTGAAATGTTTTTAATGACGGGATTTACTTGAACTGATTAAGTTTGTAAGTTTGTTTTCCACACAAGCGAACCCAGCAGCTGGATATGAGCTCTGTACACACTGATAAAAAAATGGAATGGTGATAATAAATAACTGTCTATAAAATTCAAAAGTTTTAAATATTTAAATAAAATATTAAAGCACAAAATTAAATACAATGAATATTAAATTACAAGCTTGTATATTGAAATATTTGAATTAACGTGAAAAACATTAGATTAAAACAAAAATAGTTCCAATTTGACTTAAAAACAATTTACTAAATGAAATATGATTTAGATTTTAATAACGTTTTAAGATATTAAAATCAGATCAAAAAATAGTCAAGTCAAACAACAAATTTTAGTGTTTTCATATATGTAGCTAAAAAAAACTACAAACCGCAATGGATGAAAAAGAGTACAAAATATTTGGACAACGTTTTTTGTTTAACCAGTGCAGGATTATATCTCCTCATCTTCGATTCATGCGCAACCCTTCTCGAGTTCGGGGCCTGGAAATTCCAAACATCGAAAGTAACTTGCCCCAAGGATGAGGCAGGCAAGGGCTAAAGGATTTGGATAAGTTGAAAATATGGTTATGGCCTCTGTAAAGGGGACTTGCAAATTTGAGTTATTCGAACGCAATTAATGGCCGGGCATTTTGCAGTCTGATGCCCGATCCCAAATTGGAATCCAAAGATTGTATCTGGTTGGGTGGAGGAGGGCCGTGGGGCGTGGCGGAGGCCGTTGAGGCCAGGTGCAAATACTGAAATAGTAAAATGAAACATAAATTTCAAATGAAAGCATAGATGGGAACGAAATCCGTAAGCGTTATTTGTCCGCCCCTTTTTTTTCGCATTTGACTCCAGCCTGTCGGTTGAACTCTTCCTTTTTTTTTTTGTCCGTACCCAGAGCAAATCACAGCCTCTTTCGGCTTCGTTTGCCTTAATAAAAAGCCTGGAAACGCCGGGAGTGTCTTTAAGATACACAAAGGCAAAAAACGAAACTTGAGCAGTAGCTCAGTAGAGCGTAGCGGGGGCCATGCGAATTAAATATTTGCTTAGAATATATCAACTCATATTTTTTACACGTCATTGTGCATGCGAGATTATCAACGTCATAAATCATACATGCTCGCACAGTCTTTTCATAAATATTTACAAAGGCTCGAGGGGTGTGTGTGTGTGTGTGTGGGTGTTTACTTCTGGGGGGTTGGGGGATTGCAGGGTGCGTCTCTGCGAATGCAAAAATTCTCCCAAGATGTATCTGCGAGTATCTGGTATCTGGCATCTGGTATCGGTACCCCTGCTAAACAACTGAGCCTGGGCAGGTAGTCGGATTCCGGCTACGTTGCAACCGGAGAAATTGTTTTCACTAAGTCACTCATCATCGTGGATGCCGAAAGGTAACTCAAGCTGTGCTCCAGCTGCAGTCCCTGAAAGTGAGTAAGTAGTTCTGCCAAAGGGCGTGCAAGAGTTGTTTTGTTCTGCTCCTGCTCTTGCTCCAGCTCCTGCTCCTGTCAGTCGGAGCTTATAGCTGATGAGGCGTGTTATATGCATTTTATTTGCCCCCCTCGAAGAGATCCCACTGCTCTGGTATTCCATTTCGAGTTGCCCCTTAGTGTATTACAAAAAATCCCCTGACATGGCGGTGTGTGTGCGTTAGGGTGGTCCCATATTGTATGAAATGTACGAATGTAAGGTCCCCTCTGCTTTGATGCATTTAAGGCATTCCAAAAGAAATTCTTTGAAAAATAAAAAAAATACTTTTAAGGGTCTGCGCATCACTCATACGTACTGTTGCTTTTGAACAAAAATTTGTTTTCATCCAAATGGCATTTGCGTTATCAAATTCTAAATTCATTTCCACAAAAAAAAAAAAAAAAAAAAAATAGTTTTAATTGCTGTACATATTTGGTAATGGTAAAGGGATTTGTTTGTACAAAATTCGGACTGGCTTACGTGTCGAATGAGTAATTTTAATGGAAACATCAAGACCTAAAACTTCAAATAAAATTCTTTGGCTTTCGAATACGATTTGTGTGAACCAAAAGGATATTTTTTTTTTTTTTTTTTTGGACCACCCTAGTCTGCGTATATCTTCGGTGCTCCTTTTCTTGCTGCGGTTGCGGCGGAACGATACGCTGGAAATTGCATTTTGAGGTTTCTGGGTTTCTTCGGTCTGACGTGGTGTGATGTGGTGTGATGTGGTGTGGTGCGGTGTGGCGCAGTGGTCGATGAGGCATTGCACACACTGTGAATCACTCATTTGTTATTCCTGCCACACAGCGCTAATGAGCTGAAGGCGGCATCCTTTTGTAGCTTCCCGCCAACTTGCCAACTTGCCATCTAGCCATTTTGCCACCTGGCCACCTGGCCACCTGGCCAACTGGCTCCCTCATCAATTAGCACGTCAGCCAGCGGAGGAGCTAGTGTTCGGCAGTCAAATCGCTGAAAAGTTAATGATTGTCGAGAGTGGGTCTTCTGCCTGACTGGCGACAGGGGGCAGGTTTTGTGCCATTTATGCCACGCTGGAAGTAAGTCACATACAGCTGGTGCCCTTTTGAAGCACATCCATAGCCTTACCGGTGCCTGGCAACCCTAAGTAGTTGCGACCCACCAGCTGCGGACAGCAATTGTCCTCTAGCCATTGGCACACACACACACACACATCCACTTTAAATTGAGAGCCTATCCCATTTGATTTGCTTGCTTTTTCCCTTTGTAATCGATAAATGATTTTGTTTATACGTATACGTATACGCAACGTGGTATTCTAGTCCTAGTATGCTAAATATCCTGGGTTAGGTTGCCAGGGATACCCGTACGAGCGTCGAAGCGTCAAAGCGTCGAAGCGTCGATGCCACATGACATACCTAAAAGGATTTGGACTTAAGCAGCTTACCATGTAAACAGCGCGCACACAAATACAGGCGAGCATCCGCACAAACATACTCACACGCACGTCCTTAGAATTATGATGCATACTTTTATGTAGATTATGAACACACACATGCAGGCACTGGAAGAAAGGACAAGACAAGCCGTTAGATCAATATTTTTGGACCCCGGACCTGCAAATAGTAATTTTTCAATGCGACCAAGAGTCTGCAAGTTCCAGCTTTTGTTCATTTTATCAATTGATAAACTAGCATGGATTTTCATATACGTTTACACATGTTATTCTTCATTTGTTGTCATCCCACTTCAGGTTAATAGGTGATCAACGTCTTTGAGGGGTAATTAAATTTCAATTTTTAATATTTTGAGATACAAAATTTCAAACATTTGGATGCAATTTTGTCTCAGTGTAGTGCCAAGGTACCAAGGTACACCGAATTTGGCTGCAGCTGACGCTCGAAACTGATGATCCCGGCTTCCTGATAGCCCCTGGCCCTGATTTGCATACGGAGTCTCAAGTCACGACATCTTTTGTCTGCCGGCCTTTCCGGAAATGGGCGCGCTTGCGCCTTCCCTTGGAAAAGGGGAGAGGTACTGGGCCAGAGTCGCCAGAGCGGAAAAATTGTGCCAACTGCAAACGAGTCCATCTGTCCATCTGTCCATCTGTCCTCCGCATCCTCCGCATCATCCGCATTCTCCATTATGGCGCTACTCCATCTGCCCGACTTCCTGCGTCTGGCTGCCTGCATGCAAATGAGCCCCATATATTTGCCGCTTCTTGCCGCTTTTCCACTTGTTTTTTAGTTAGCTTGTTCGCCTTTATAGTTCTGCTTTCTGTTTTTTAGCACGTGTCGTCTCTTGTCCCGCCTTGGATTGAGCTTGTTATGTAAAACTTTAGACTTTTCGTAGTCGAATTTGCCCAAGTGGGGTCTGAGTCCTGTGCCTTTGCCTTTGCCTGTGCCTGTGCCAGCTGCCTTTTCAGTTGGTAACTCAACTGCTTTGCATCAAAATATCAATGCATATACTGGGGCCATGGGCATAAATTATGGCCCGGGATTTGCCATCGAGAGCACGTCATGGTGGAGCATAGCTGGCCATCGAAAATCCTTGTTTTACGGCCTGCGATATGGAACGGAACGAAATGGAGATTGAATGGCTGACTTCGAGAAAGAGGGAATACAAAACGACCAAGTCGAAGTGGTCGAATGCTCAAATGATGGCTTCCCCCAACTTGGCTGTAATGAAACTGGAATGAAGCACATTAGACACAGTTTTATTTATTATTATTTGTTTACTACGGCGAACACTAGGTGTTGAGACGAAAAAGAATATGGTGCCTTAAGTTTTGAATGAAAAGAGCATAGGTTTTTGTTTAATACCAGAAGTTTTTCTTCAAATATAGTCAAAGTATAACAATATTAATACCAGAAAAAACAAAACGTTGCAGTAAAGATTTGTATCTACACAGGCATTTTTTGCAGCGTGTCGGATTAGGATTATTTTTACCTCGTAAGATACAGTTTATGGGTAGGAAATGGTGGAGGAAAATATATATACTTTCTGACAATTAGTAGAAATGAAGACGATGTTTTTGAATCTTGCAGTTAAATTAAAAAAATGGACCATTAAATTATATTGTATTTATAAATTTCTTTTTGGATAAAGAGTTGTTTATCTAAATGACATTGTTCTTTTGTTCTTTGTCGCTTACTATGTGTAAAAATGAACCTAATGATTAACTATCCTCAAATAGCAGTATATGCAATGGATTACTGATTTTTAAAACTAGTGCTTGAGGTCTTAGTTAAGTTTAAAAGTAAACATTTAAGAGTCCCAAAAACTTTGACTGCCAATGCGTAATCAGCTTGGCGAAATCAAATTAATTTCACTTAACCATTATCCTGTGGAAAAGCCCTGCATTAACGACGTGTCATGAGATTAATTGGGATTAAGGAGGGCTGCACACCAATGGCATACCTGGTATGCTGGCCGCACACACAGGGGCCATTTGAGTGTACATGTGTGCGGCCCATTCATTTGTCATCACGCTAATCGGGCCGCCATAAGTTCGCCGGAATGTTGCAGCTCCAGCTGCACTGTGAAAATGCGAGAATGACACCGCCAGTGCGTTCAGCTTAGAGTCGCGAGCTTAACGCATAATTTACGAGATTTTTTTGGCTGCTGCATACCATGCATGTCTTTAATTAAAAATTGATTAATAACCATGGACAAGTCCATGGCATATTTGCTATCAAACCAGACCAACGCATGCACACATAGTCAAATAGTCTAACAGTCAACCAGGGAGAAGGCGGAAGAGGGCTGATAATTACAAATTACGTATACGCCACATTGCCTCCATCTATACGTGTAGTTTTTTTATTTACGCTTAAACTGAGCTCTCCAGCATCGCGGATATAAAAAAGCAAATTGCCCCAATTTGGCGAAATTGTGAAAAATCAAATGCTGTGCAAGTGGTTGTTTACGCTGGATTCGCATTTGCAACTGATGACTTGTTTGCTTGGCTTTGCTGCCATAAGCGATGCGAGTGTGTGCTCAAGTGCATCCTGTTCCCTGGCTTGCCAATTGTCTGCCCCTCTGTCCCTCTGCCCATCTGCCCCTTAGCTCCTCGGTTCCGTTCCGGCTCTTGGCAGCTGACTAATAGCTTGATAAACTGCATGCCACGCTTCATAATGAGCGACACCCCCATCCTTTCACGCCCTCGCTCATTTGTCTACTTCACACGGCATTGAACGATCATGAGCTCAGCGCGTTTTTGAAATACATCCAGGATTTGAGGGGGAGAGTCAATTGTGTCTTAAAATAGGCGTATTTGCAGAGGAAGACAAATTGGAAATGCGTCTGAAATTCACAGCCAGCTGATTCTCGAAGACGCAACCAAAAATAATCAATTGACTCACGTCTTAGTGTTCTAATTTATATTTTGGCACACATCAGAGAGTATTATAATTTCAGTCAGAAGTTTGCAACGCAGGAAGGAAACATACACAGCTGTGTAGCTGTGCAACCTGGCTCTGTTCTGCTTCTGTTTCTGGTGATAAGTTTTTGAGACGTTCAGTTTCGTAGCGCAACTATAGCGAGCTGGTCGGCGAAGCGGAAGATTAAAATATTATTAATTAATTTATTCACTATTGAGCAATAAGCCAGAGATAAGAACAAATGGCGAGCAAAGTCGGTGGGTAGATGGGAAACCACCGTCGTCAAGAATAGTCGGTACTTATACGGTTTCTTCCAGCGATTCTTCTCTTGGCACTGGGACATCTTGTGGTTGCCCAAAGCCTTGCGAAGCCAGTGCCCGGAGAATGTCTGGCGCCCACCTACATGACCCGCTTCAGGGCCAAGCTCTTCCAGGAAATGATAAAGTTGGAAAATCGCCACGGCAACGTTGCCTTCTCACCCTTCGCCGTGCACGCCATGCTGGCACTGATCTACAGGGCATCGGAGGGTGAAACATTTAGGGAAGTGCAGCGGGTCGGCGAGTTCAACCAGCACCCTGTTTTCGTTGCCCTGGACTTCGAGCGACTGATCAAGTTCAAGGAGCATCTCCAGAGTGCCAATCTAACTTGTGACTCCAGAGTATTCTACAACCGGACGCTGGGTGCAGTCAATTCCCGCTACGACGAGTTCTCCAAATTCTATTTTAACATCGGCACGGAACCTGTGGACATGGACAGCGGCGAGATCATGGCCAACAGTATTAACGGCTTAACGAGTTCCGGTTACTAGTACTGGAACTACGGCCTATCCGACCACATTATCTCCCAGCTGCAGACAATACTGATAAGCGCCGTTCGTTTTAGGGGATTCTGGGAGCACACGTTTTACCATGGAAATACTCGTCCAACCGAATTCCACTTCACCAACGGTCGTATTTCTAATGTAAGAATGATGTACAACCACGAAGTCTATGGTCTGGCCGATCTGCCCGATCTGGATGCCACCGCCTTGGAACTGCCATATAATGACAGCGCCACCAGCATGCTGATCCTGCTGCCCAATCAGCCGAAGGGATTGGCCAACCTCGAGCAGCAGTTGGCCCAGCCGGAGTTCGATCTCAACCGGATCGCCAACCGCCTGCACCGTCAGTCGGTCACGGTGGTCCTGCCCAGGTTCTGGGTCCTTATCGATTTAGACATGACCGCGCCATTGAAGATGCTGGGTCTCCGGCAGGTGTTCACGACCAGCTCGAAGGTGACCAAATTGCTCGAACAGACGGTGCGCGTGGACAAGATCCTGCATAGGGCCTACATTTCAGTGTTTGAGAACGGAACTTCATTACAGTACCCGTCGGGTAAGATTTCAGACACTTTTCGGGTCTAAAAACTATTACAAAGCTATCAATTCTATATATCCAGATGATGCCAAGTCACTGCCTGACAATTCCAAGGAGTTCGTTGCTAATCGGCCATTCGTCTTTGCCATCCGCACTCCCAACTCAGTGTTGTTAATGGGTCATGTGAAGACGCCTTGGCCATAAAAATATGGATCCAAAATCGTGCAAAATGATGACCTAAAATTACACATTTTGATTATCAAATTCTTTAAAATGTACTTGTTCGGTTAGCAACAACCAAAAATTCCAGTTTATGGTTTTATTTTCTGGGATTTTTAGGTATGAATTTTCTACGAAAATTGACATAAGAAAGCTAATCACGAATTTCTTATCGAGGGACTCGAGCAACAAGTCCATCGGGGGCTATCGCCAGAATTTGTGCTTATTTAAATATTATATAAGCAAATATATGCTTATGTAAAATTTAAAACACCTGCAGGAATTTTGTAACGAACTGAAATTCACTTCTCCGACCCCATTAAGTATAAATATTCTTGATCACCATGGCAAGACGAGTTGATATAGCTATATCCGACTGTCCGTCTGTTTCTATACCGTTTGCGAGCCCAGTTTAAGAGCTAGAGATTTGAAACTTTCGTAATCGCGTTTTTTCATGTGTACGCAGATCATGTTTGAAAACGGCAAAGATCGGACTTATATATTCTATAGCTGCCATAGGAACAATTAGGTCTAAATATGAGATTTTATTTTAAGTTTCAGCAATATTGGTTTGGCTGGTGGTAGTTCTTCTATATGTTTGCATAGTATTAAGAACTCAGACCTTGAGATCTGATCAAAGTTAATTGACTTTACCATTTTTTGCTTTCTCGTCTCTTCTCGTTTTTATTTTTTTTGCCCTTTAAAATGTATTTATATAGACATTTGAACGACATTTTGCAATATTGCTGACAAAAAATTGTCTTGAATTTATTAACTATACAATGACATGCGAACTTTTTGAATGGTTTAAAATTGTCCAAAAAGTCAAATGAATATAGATTACTTTCTTTAAAAAAATCCACAAATATGACCTAGATTTCGTGGGTTACACTGACCGATATTTAATTATGTTTATTAGTTAGCCTGCTTATAACTTAAATTCTTTTTGAAAGAGAATAGAAATTGTATTCGTTTGCCGAAGGTCGTAGTGGCACGGTGTAATGGGTAAATTTTTCTCAGTGCACTGACGTCATAAACTTCCGATTCAGCCTCTCGCACCGCCAGAGAATGTGTTGACACATTTGCCATGCCCATTTGCCCACATAAACCCTGACGTTCAATTGCTCGTTTGGCGCAAAGGATTCCAGCCCGTTCCTGTTGCTCTGTTTCTGCAGCTCTTAACTTTTGTTCTTTTGTCGCCGCTGAGAATAACGGACGGTGGCGCACGTTATGGAATACTGAGCTCGGAACACGGACGCGGAACACGGAAGAGCAAATACGAAGCGCAGGGCAGACAACAGACAACAGACAACATACAACAGACAACAGCCAACTGGCAACAGACAGCAGCCGACAGGCAGCAGACGACAGATATGTATGATGAAATACAAATTAAATTTCGCTGGCACACATCCACATCCACATCCATATGCACGAAAAAATCAGATATGAAATGTAAAACTGAGGCAGGATAACTGGCGATGGGGCTGGGTACTATCCTGGGGATAGGGGATGAACGCACATGCCATATATGAAAGTGGGGTTGGGTGGTTGGGGGGTTGGGGGGTTGGGTGCAGAGCCCACTTCATCAGCGAAACGCTTCCGCAGTTGTGTTTTCCTGCGATGCCCCCTTTGGCAACGAGAACTCAAAATTCGAAGCGCGCGGCAATTGAAGTCAGAATTTAAATGGGATTCCCTTTCACTCATCAGCACTTGCCTTGTCGCGTCCGCTCCTCTGCTCCCATGCCCCCCTCCCCCCCCCCCCACACCACCATCCCCCCACATACCCCACACACAGTGTAAATACGTAAAAAGGCGTATAATTTGCATGAGATTTGATTTCACACCGACACCGAAGACAGGCTCCAGCCGAAACTTGCTACGCAGATGTGTAGATGTGTAGATGTGTTGGGGCGAAGCATTTGGCTGAAGTCAAATTGGTAGGGAGTTCCCCCCGGAAAACCTCTACGGAGCATATGTTGAGCAGCTTATAAGGGTATAAGCTAGTTGGTCTGCAACAAAAGCCTTGGAGCTGCAAAACAAAATTAAACAATAACCCATAATAGTATGCTAATCAATACAAAAACTTTTTAAGTCGCGATTCATAAGGCATAAGGGAAAGCTCTTCTTTCATTTGCCAAAAATATCGATTTTTCCACAAATATACATGGCATTTATATGATTGTGGAATAGGTTTATAAATGAATTTTGCGTTGGAACGCATCTGATTTATGGTTGCAAGGCTTACACTAAAAATGTACAAGAAAATAATTTCAATTGTACTTTTTAAGCTGACATTTTTTTCTATATCAAATCTGTGGAATAAAGGGTATTTAGATATCTAGTGTGTTTCTCAAAAAAAGTGAGGCAGAATATATTGCGTACTGTTTGCATTCAACTTTAAGTGATTTTTTCGCATAACAACTTAAAATGCGACAGATTAGGGCAATTTAGATTTTGTTGTATGATTTTTTCATAATAATTGTAAAAAATACATAAGAAAACCATTTTTAACTTGTGCCAAAGGAGGCTCCTTTGCAAGGCCTTGAGCCACTGTTTTGCATGGATTTCAGTGTGCAATTAATGCTATAAACTAAATGCCCATGCCATAAGCATAATATTATAAAATATTTTTTAAAAATATTGATGGCTGGAAGGGTATATAAACTTGCCGAAGTTTGCTTCTTTTCCTGCTTAAGACAAATACTGACCTTATTCAATTTTTTTTTCAAAACAAGAAGCTTTTGTATACTTCTGGTATTTGCGAACACTTGTCGGTTTCATATGTGAAATAGATGTTTATTGTTTGCAGCTTTGGCTCCCCAAAGATATTCAATCCAATCCAATGGCACAGTCGAAAATGTAATGCATATTTTGTGCTTAAATCAACATTACCATTACCGTGAACTTTTAAGGGCTTACCCCCATCAAACAGTGCGAGTTATGAGTAAAGTCAAAGCCAGGCAATTGTCGGAATGGAACCCTCTGAGAAATTTGATGCCATTCGGGCTGATTGCAATTGGCAGTGTTGGCTAATGCTCGGTTTCATGCTGGCATACCTTTCAGCGTTCAGCATTCAGCTTTCACCTTTCACCCGTCCGCTTTTACCCGACCGCTTTTACCTGACCGCTTTTACCCAGAAAAGCCAACAATTGGCGGAGCGTGCCCTGCTTTCAACATAGCTCTTCATGCAATTGACAGATTCGGGAACAGCTACAGCTACAGCTACAGGTACAGATACAGATACAAGCCCAGACACAGACACTGATACAGATACAAATACATATACAAATACATATACAAATACATATACAAATATAGATACAGAGACAGATAAAGGGACAGATAATGCTGGCACTGGCATAAGCAACAGACATATTGGCTGCAACGTTGGGTACATATAAAAACAATAAGCCGCACTGGAGTGAATCTGCGGGCAGTGCGGAAACAGGTGGGTTCGATGTGCCAAAAACAAGTAAGCATGAATGCCGCACGGAGTCACCGACTTTGCGATACCCACCACTCGACTAACAATCGCGTAGGCTTCTTTAATACTATAAAAACCAATTGCTTATATTGTATAGATTGACACAAATCACATATACTTTATTTTATACATACATTAATTGCATGCATTAATTTGTATTTCCACTTAATTCGATATAGCACAATCTAGTTTTTTGTAAAATTCCCGAATTTTCATAAACTTAAGTTTTAGTTTAAATTTACATTCAATAGTTAGTTGATATATAAATAATATTCAAGTATTACTTTAATACTTATTTCAGGACCAACTCTTAAATTAAGTTCTCAAAAATACTTAAAACATAAACAACATTTATCAAAACAATAGTTTGGAACTCATGTGATATTGAAATGGTCAATGATTGGAGGAGTTTATTATCTTATAATATAAATGACCCTAATCAAAACATATAAGATGAAATGAAATTATGATGTTTATGTCTACGGAAGGCTAGATCGACCCGTTTGACGTTTTAGATCAAAAACGCATTGAGGAAAGCTCAATAATGCGTCCTTTAAGAGTGTATTTGTACCCCTGTTATCGTCAAGTGGCGGGTGTTAAAATCAAACCAAAACATACACAAAAGGGGAGTGCGGGAGATACGTACAACAATAAATATTAATAAATTTCACATGATCATAAAAATAAATTTGTGAATCCAGCACGCACTGGCGCACACACACTTTGCCACGAAATACGGAGATACGGAGACACGGAGATACGGGGGCCCAGTCAATACACACAAACATATTACATTATAAGGCTTAGCCATAACAAGGCAATCACATTATTAGGCAGCATCCACCCATCGACCACCGCCCACCGCCCCATTGTGGGTGTGGCAGGCTGTCAGGTGCTGGCCCACCCACACCCATACGCATAAGCATACGCATACGCGTCGTTGTAACGCCGATGTAATATAAGCATATGCAATAAGGTTATCTTATTACCCTGGAAGCGATGAAAAAGCAGCGGGAGTGGCGGGAAAAGGAACTGGAGCAGCAAATGACAGCACACCAAACGCACTTACAAATCGAAGCAATGATTTCACACCCAATCCCCAGACCTTAGCATCCCCAGACCGGATCATCTTGAGCTCAAACGCCCAACGCACGGCATTTGGAGTGGCGAGAGGAGTCCAATTCAATATGCTGCTGCTGCTGCTGGGACACTTAATCCCATCGCACAGATCCCGCCCAGCTGGAAGGTCGCCAGATCGCATCGTTCTTGGCCAGCACTGGTAAAGATTCCCAATTTCATCGGGCCACACAGCCACAGCCATAGCCACAGCCAATAAAGCACATCCGCCAGGTGAATTGTCAGCTCTTAAGTATCTCTGATTGTGACAAGTACCCCACACATGCCGGAATGAGCCCAAGTACTCCACTCCGGGCTAGTTAATCCCACCTTTCGGGTGTTCGGTGCTCGGTGTTCGGTGTTCTGGGCTGGCATCGCCACGCCCTGACATCGCAAAAAAAGAAA